GTGTCCTGATTAAGCTCCTGGGCTGAGCAGCTTTTTGCAAAAAAAAAAGAAAGAGACCAAGGGACGAGAAGCTACTTAGTTGATTTCCCTATTTACTATACCCACCATTATATAGACCCCAAAATAGATAGAGAAGTAAAATCCCTTTCGAAACCACTTCGAAATCGTTTCTATCGAATCTATTTGGGGACCACCAGAAAGGATCGTTCTAAACCACCAAAGACCAGAGGTCGACCTCTTCAACAGACCTCATCCACCAAGGATCCCCCGCTACAAGCGGGTTACCGGCTCCGCGCGGATAACGTGCCTCCGCGAGCTCGTGCGCGTTGGCGTCGGAGATGGAGGCTTTCAGCATGATGACCGGCGTCGGTTCACTGCGGTGCGCAGCAGTTGGCCGGTTTGCAGCAGAGGAAAGTGGAGCCCAAATGATATGATGAGATGATTCATGGAGTGTATGAAGATCTTGTGCATTCTCGCCCATAGACTCATGGAAATTTGTTCGAGAATCCTTACTCCCTGCAGTTCAAAGACTAACGTTTTTCCCAAGCACCGCTTGTCCGTCACCCTTTCCGCGGTGCCCTTTGTTGGTGCGATGCGGCAACACTTGCTTTCTCAAATCTGCCACATGTGACACACTTGAACTCATGAATCTTCCCGTCAGGCATGGACCATATGGATCAACACGGCGAACCTGCAGCATGTAGTGCTGAGCGTAGTTGAGCTTAAGCTATCCTTATTGACTTTGGAGGGCCGGGAGCCGATGTAGATCCTCATGTGCTCTTGGACGTTCCGTTCCGCCCGCCATGGCTGTGAAGGTGTACCCCCGCACGGCCGCAACGAAACGGGCGAAGAAGGGCCTCTTCATCCGAAGAAGGTGTACCACCGCACGCACGCTAATGGCAGCAAAGGCCTGAACTCGTGCGACGCAGAAGTCTGACGCGTTCGATCCCGTCTGACCCGGTCTGATGGGAGGAGTGAGCAGTCCAGTGGAACCGTTTCAGACTCGGCCCACGTGTTTGGGGTGGGATAGCCCTTAGAGGTGATTCAGGGTGTCCATCAATAAGCATCCATTTGCGGGGTGCTGCCTTGGACTAAAATGCGGGTTTCCCCAGTGGGTGTTTTTTGGGGGGAGGCGAACTTCACGCGGATTTCACGGGAAAGCATGGCATAGGTATACGGTATATAGGTAAAACATGCAGTCACGCCAATTTCACGCGAAGGGGTTCCACCCGGATCTGGGAATCTTCAAACGAAGGTCCTAGAACTTCACTTCCAGTTCATAGACCTCAGGATACCTCAGCGATTCATGTCTGGAAATTCTTGTGAAACTATACACTCCGTGGATCCAATAGTATGTATAAATGAATTTAAAGGTTACGTCGATAGTTCACCTGGTAAAACATCTACCTGGCAACACATCGAAGTTAAACTTCTACATTGAAGGTTCATCGTGATTGGCCCCCAACATTGGCACTGACTTGGACCGACGCACGGACTTGGCACGTGGACCCTGCCGTCACCGTGGACCTGCCTTAACCGTTAACACCCCCAACCAGACCCCAAACACCCAAGAATGCTTCAAACACCCGAGGTTGGAGGCCATCGCTCTTAGGCCAACAGAAACCTGCCAGGTCCGAAACAACACTCGCCGGATCGAAACCCGCTGATGGAAACGACGGAAACGACGCTAGAAAAAGAACCACCAAACGCTCGGCCAGCTTGGGGGGTTCACCCAGCCTCGGGCAAGAGGCCCCAAAACGCCAACCTCACAGCGCGTTTTCGGGGCGAAAAACGCATGGAAGATCGGAGTGGCCGTGGGTAGATGGGCTAGGAAGTATGAAGGTGTCTCCATGGAAAGGTCAGCGCGTTCGTACGAGGAAACCCCAATTGCTAGCGGGTTCTTTCAGCGTCTCTGGTGATCTCCCATGCACCGACGGAGCACCAAAAGCGAAAACAGCCCGACTCCCGGTCCCTCAAAACCTACCCAGACACTCCATGGGACTGCCGTATATGTCGATCAATTGACCCCCCTGGCACCACCCCCAACTGATCGCCATCTATGGGCAGGGATTTGAGACCCCGGCCTCTACAAATAAGGGTCCCGGTCCAGGAAGACAGTCGCGAACCTGCAAGCCTGCAAGCCTGGCCTTTCCGGTCCCGAACCACTCCTGGCCGCGTTTTGGTTCCCGCCTGGCAGGAAGGGATCCGTCCAGGGCGAACTTCACCGACATGCCGATCCTCCGGGGCCCCGCGGGCAGCGTCTCGGCGTCCGACGAGGCGCTCGCGACCAGCGACACCGACGTAGAGGGCGAGTGACCCCGGGCATGGTGTTCGGGTCATCGCTCGCGCCATGCGGATGCGGAGGATTCATCCGAAGAAGCGGTGCTAGCATTTGTCACCCCTCACTGAGCCAACGCCCCGTTTCTGAGGAAGAACGCCCCACGGTGAAGCTCGAACGGCGAGGTCGGTTTCGCGGACGCTCCAGAGCAGCACAAAACCGCCAAAGAGGGCCAGCAGCCCGAGCTTGGTCACGTCGCTGCCCTGGGACAAGGGACGGGAGGAATGAATGGATGAATGAATGCACGGATGGATTGGATTGGATTGGATTGGATTGGATTGGATTGGATTGGATTGGATTGGATTGGAATGGATTGGAATGGAATGGAATGGAACGGAATGGAATGGAATGGGAAGGAATGAATGAATGAATTTTAAAAATACTTGCATCGGTACATGCAAAAGTCTCCATCCAGGGTACCTGCAAATCAAAAATAGTTATTATACTTAAATAGGCATGCACCTAACCCCGACTGCCATGCTGCAACCAACGTGAGGACATACCCTATAAATGAGATAGAAGTGCAAAACACCTGCTGGATAAACAGAAAATGTGTCTTCGTCTTCTCTGTGAGATGTTGCCTTCAGTTTAGAGATGTTGCCTTCCTCCCGGTTCCTCCCGAAAACCCGGGATGCATCCCCCCCGCGCCGGGCTGGACAGCGCAACTGCAGAGAATGTCTTTTGCCCTTTCGCCGAAGATCAATGGCGACTTGGCCCGCTGCAAAATTCGCTTGGCAGCTCTGGGCACGTCTTTTCCCAAAGCTCCCGCAGACACGTCGCAAAGTGCTCGCGTTTCTGCTGAAGCAGCGTTTCTGCTTCCGCTTTTGGCGCAACAAGTTGCTTCGTGTCACCAGCATCAACAAGCTGAAGAAAGTGTCCGAAAAATCCGCAGTTGGAGCATCCTTCACCAATTGGAGCTTCTCTGTTCCTTCTTCTTCCGTTGAAAGGGATCGTCGGGGTCGGGACCCGCGCCGACCTCGAACGACAGCGGCATCTCGATCACATCCAGCGGCGCAGGGTTGGGTGCGTGTGCCATATATGGGCAGCATGGGTGCGGCGCAGGGGGGAGAAAGCTCCCAATCAGATGAGGCAACGGACGCCTGCCAAGGTCGGGAGATGGCGGGGAGATGTCGGGAGATACCGAAGCTGTCGACATGTAGAGTCGGTCATGGGAGTCCTTCCAAAAGCCTTCCAAAAGCCTTCCATAAACATGTGCTGTGCTTTCTTGATCTCCTGACTCTCCAAGGATCCACACACATGTCGAAAGGAAAAGAAGAAGCCGGCCGTCGACGCCTCGAATGACTTCACAGGGAAATCTGGTGACTGAAAGCTGGACCCAAAAGGGTCTTCATCAACCCCTTGCCGCGAGACTGCTTACAAGATCTTACAAGTGACATCTTAGGAGGGTCTTCCAGGGTTTGACCAGTAACCCCAGGACCCTGGCAGGAAATCGCCCCTTTGTGCTTCAGTATCTCTGACCTGTGCGCTTGGGGACACGCATCTGACCCAGGTCACCGAAAAGAAGGACCGTCTTCGTAGCTGAAAATGTCACCATGTTTGGTCATCTTGACTCTTGACAATGGTAGAACCTGATTGACCCCTGTTTGGGATCCAAAACAGGGTCTTTTCATCTCAAAACGCAGGTCAAACGGCTTCTAGAAGGAATCTACAAGCTCCGAGTCGTGCTACCGAAGCGGAAACATGGAAGACCGCCTTGAAGAAGTTACCACACTCGGTCAAGCAGAAGTTCATGTCACCCATTTGCATCACCCAACCTTGCCTGGATGTGCCTTCTTGAAGTGGGCGCTGTTGTTATAGAAGCAGCCCTTGTAGAAGATGGGCCCTGGCAGTTGTCGCCTGGGTTTCTCTCCATCCGTCCCTCTCGCTTCGTCCGCTTCATCCGTATCGCTTTGGCGCGACGGGCGCGCTTCGCTTCGGTCTCGTTGGGCACAGCTCACCGTGGCGCGTCGCGTGACGTCTTGGTTTCATTTGCAACGAACATCCCGGTTGAGGCTCTCCCAACCCGCAGAGGTTGAAGAATTCTATATACCTAGCGAACCTGAGACCTAACAATTTGTAGGTCTTTTGTCAAGACCTCGTCTATTTTCATAGATTCCAGAAAACCTCGGGTTTTGAGCAAAAACCTCGTCTTTTCTCCAATCAGGCCAACTTAACACCTTCAAGATGGTTCCGGCTCCGGTTTCATCGCCCTTCGTGCGTCAGGTTGCCATTCCAACATCCAGGATCAAGGAATGTGATCCATTGTGATGAGCCCGTTAATCCCAACATCACTTGGGAAAGGCTGAAAACAGGAAAGGCCAGAGGTGTTGCGCAGTGGACAACGACATGTTTTTTTGAAAGGTGGTTGGAGACTGGAGACCATACTTTGTAACCGCAACATACTTGGTAACCACATTACCGTCCCAACCATCCGGCTGCCATGCCATTTGCTTTTTCTTCGCTGGCCAGCACAAATCCAAGTATGAGGCTGGCTCCTGCAGCACGGGCGGGCTGGGCGTGAAGAGCAGGGTGTAGAAATTCCCCATTGACGAATCAAATCGAATCTCTATATAGAAAACGGCTTCACCAGCCAGCATGAGATCCATGTGCACGAATATGTGTTCTTGCAGCCAGCTGCCTTTCACATCAAACCGTGGGTCTTTAACGTGGACATCAAACATGGTGGAGCTTGACCTGACCAACTTGGCCGAGGATTGGGAAAGGGAGGATGCTGTAAGGGCGCATCTTCGCACCGAGGGCGCAACGCTCCTTGGGGACAAGGACGTGTGTGAATCGGTGAAGACTTGCGTGGTGGATCATGTCCACGCGATGCTGAAAGTGATGTGCCTTCGCATGGCTGAAACGGAGGGGGCGCCCCAGCCAGCTGTGGCTCCTCTTCGAGAGGAGCTTGAGAAGCTCTACAAGCGTTGTGGGGTCATGGTGGATGAGAAAATTGTTTTTGAAGACTCCTGGATGGTCCGCAAGCTATGCTGTTTCCTGAAGATGAAGACCAGGAAGCGAATGGTGAGCACTGTCACTTGCCATGTTTTACGGTTGGGCCCCCACACCCGTGAACCTTATATATGCAAGATAAACTGTTCGTATATCTGTTTTCGCCATTGTGCCTCCTTTAGGCCGTTTTTGTGTATGTATTGACCCACTGGCACGGCGCCCTGAGGTTCCAAAGTTCCAGGAGTTGTGTCTGATTTTGAACCCAATGCTTGAGGACATGTGGAGAAGGGTGGGGCTGACACTTCATGATCTTTTGCTTCATTTGGTTCATATGGCTGCGTGATCTTGGTATAACTTGAACGGGTTTATCAAACAAATGGATAGCTGGTATATGAGATCAGTCGGGCGGAGCCTCGTTTGTACACGCGGAATTTCCCTCGAATATACACGCGGAGAATTGATCTCGTTTATACACGCGAATCTCGTTTGTACACGCGGCTCCCTCGTTTGTACACGCGGCTTACACGGCTGAAAAAATGAACGAATGAATGAATGAATGAATGGAAGCCGACCAGCTTGTTTCACAATCTGAACCTTGTTGTCTCATTTTACGTCCATCGCTTTAGATGCGCTGTTTGGGCTGTCAGATCCGTGACGTTATTAACACCCCCCCCCCCCCCCCCCCCCCCCCCCCCCCCCCCCCCCCCCCCC